CCCCCCAGAAGATCGCTATCAAGGAAGTCGACACACGTAGCGGTGAAATGCATGTTACACGCGTACGGTGCCGCTTCTAGCCGCGGCGACAACCGAAGTTTCCCGGGCAGACCGCGCGGAGAGCGAATGATAAATCATTTGGTGACCGACCGGCCGAAGCCGGCGAGCCCCGGCAAAAAGGAGCGAGGCTCGTTCGGGAATCTTGAATATTTATCGGCCGATATTTCTCCGCGCTGCGGCCGCCACTTGAAAACAATCGCCGAGAATAATTGTTTATTTATGCAGATCGCCGCGTCTCCGCGAGGGGAGTATAAGTTCGAGCGGCGGGTGGAACCGGGCCCGATAATCGAGAGATCGGCGAGGAATCGAACCCTCGACGGTTGAACGATACCATTAGAAAGATTCCAGGGAAGTGTATAATATTTCTTGCCGGCGATTGGGAAAAGACGAATCGCTGAATATTCAACCGGCCGGTTAGCTTCGCCTCGATGACGAAAAGAAGTCGCGTATTTCCATGAGCGCGCGCCGCTCGCTGGCTGGTTGGCTGGCTCGCTCGCTGTGTTTTAAACAAACTTCGCGTCAACTCGAAATAAACTTCCGCATTAAGGGGCCGGAATAAATGTATAAGGTTAATGCAGGAATTATGCGCTAGCGAACGGGGGGCCGCGAAATCTTCGCGAGTTCCCCGTATTAATTGCGACGAATTGCAGGCCGGCGCATGCAAATCGACCGGGGACCGGTGAACTTTAACCCGGCCTGTTTATTTTTGTTCGTCCGCGGCCCGCTGGAAATATTCTATTACTAATCGGACGAGGCTCGCGCGGGCTGGATCACTTGTCAGTGATTCAAACGAACGGGTTGCGGTTTCGTGCGTTTATCAGGAATGTGGCAGCGCGAAATTGTACGAGATGCACGCGATAAGAGGAATATGTGTGTAACGTGTAGTGCTTGTGAGTTTGGTTGGGACGAATCGTTTTCTATTGTGAAAAGTTTGGAAAGATTCATTTGTTTAGGGTAATATATATAATATACAGTATATAGGATATAATATACAGTATGATATAATCTATATGGTATTATATAGACTAATATGATATAATATACAGTATGATATAATTTATATAGCATTATATAGACTGATATGATATAATATACAATATGATATAATCTATATAGTATTATACAAACTGATATAATATAATATACAGTATGATATAATCTATAGTATTATATAGACTGATATGATATAATATACAGTATGATATACTATATAGTATTATATAGACTGATATGATATAATATAAAGTATGATATAATCTATATAGTATTATATAGACTGATATGATATAATATAAAGTATGATATAATCTATATAGTATTATATAGACTGATATAATATAATATACAGTTTGATATAATCTATATAGTATTACATAGACTGATATGATATAATATATAGACTGATCAGTATATTATTTGTTAATATTATTCGAAGATTTAATATCAAAATATACGATCTAATTATCACTTTTCGATTCCATAATTGAACATGAAAGAAGATATCCGTTATCGGGAAGTAACTGGATTATCCAAGGGAATTCAACGCGAAGCAGCTAGTCACGCGGAGGCATTAATTAGAAATTAATTAATTAAAATTAAAAATTCAACATTCACCATTCTTCAATATTCAGACCACAAAGCAACGAAATCTGTTATCGAAAACTAACGTTCGTCACTTAAATACTCTGAGCGCGCCAATTACGAAGCAAGAGATATCAAACGCAATATCGTTGATAAAAGCGTATCATTAATTCTTCCATACTAAAATCACAAAGCGATCAAGAGTATCATTGAAAAATGAACATTCCTTACTTTAACCGACTACTCCAGCGTAAAGCAAGGAATAATTAATTCCAACGCAATATATTATTAACACATTGAACGCCGGCTAAATTTCAGCTACTAAAAACGCGAGCGTCGATGATTATACCGATACATTTTTAAACATCGATTAAACTAAAATTTCTAACTTACTATTAACACTATAGTATCGAAGCAGGAATGTTGTCGGGAAGAGAAGAGTGGAGAGTAGTTTGAGGATAGAGTGAAGAATAGAAAGTAGAAAGTGGAGGGTGGAGAGTAGTGATTAGAAGAAGAAAGTAATGTAAGAGAAAAGAAAATTGAATAGTCTGTTAACGTAGGAATTCGAATGCTTGTGGGGGAGAGAATGATTTTTGGGAGAGAATGTCTGTAAGAGAGTGGTAAGAGAGTGGCGAGGGAGAGTCGTGTGTTGACCTTCGTGGCATTGAGTTGTATTTTTACGTGTTGTCCGTATCGTTCCCTTATTTCATTAAATACATATATTTATTCCTAATTCTCGATTACCGAAGATCCACCTTCTCAATATCTATAATAGCAGCCCCACTATAAACTTGGTAGCTCGTCCGGGATCACTATAATAGAAAAACAGCAATTCAAAATTTCCTTCGGGCACTCGATATCCCTTTAATTGACAATAAGGATTCAGCGGGGAACCATCGTTCCGTCGAGGAGCTCCATTCAGGCCGACGAGTGGGGTTAAAAGGGGATGAAACGTGGCAGGAGGGACCTGGGAAGGATCGAGCCGATGACGAATGTTCGGCATCGTTAACCAGCCGCCCTCCTTCGATTGATGAACTCTCGCCGGGGTTAACGGCCCCAGAAATCCTCGTGAATATCGGGTGGAACCGTCGTCGACGTTTACCGGCGAGGAAAAACTGTTCAGGACGGGCGGCGAAGGCGCAGCTCACCTCGGATGACTGGCCATAAGTCAGCGGTCGTGAGTAGCGTGCCTTCGACGCACTTTATTAAGACAAACGACCGTCCAACGACCTCCTGTTCTTCCCTTCGCTGCCTTAATTGCCGCCCGCCGAATCTTCGCCGCGAGGGCCACTTTGTCTTTGACCTTGCCCCCGGCCTTTAACGAGCACCGTTCGAGCAGGCCGGAACATTTGTTTGATTCCACGGCCGCCGTTCTTCCTTGGATGCTTCCTTAATTGGTTTGTGTGCCTTTTAACCCCTGGCTGACGGGCCACGTGGGCTCTGTTACTGAATTGTGGATAGGGGATGGACGCTTTGCTGGATAATGTGATGGAACGCGGAATAGAGACGGCATGTGATTTGAGGATTTTGGTTGGTTGAATAAATTAGAAATCTATTTGTTGAGCGTTCAGTAAATTAGAAATCTAGTTGCAGAGATTAACCAGTTAACTGTGGAACTTTGGTTCTGCGCGCAATAAAATAAAAAAATGGAGCGTGTACTCATCGAACGCAGGACGAATGCACGTAGAGTATTGTAATGAAAGATCAAAGCGAAACAAAGAAGAATTACATGTTTGTGTGAACAAAACATGAGATTTGATAGTAGGTAATTGGGGTGCATGTCAGTGCGATCGCATCAATGAAAATCGGCGTAAACATGTACAAAATAATATTTCTAAAATCCAATATGCGTCAATTTGACGCGTT